CAGATCCCAGAAGCCCTGGAGGAGCTCAGCTGAGCCCAGAACCCCCAGTTTGCCTTCTCTCAGGGGCTGCCCCAAAGAAGAGGGGCTCCACCGATTCTCCAAGCACCTGAGGGCAGGAGAAGAAGCAACGGATGGAAACTTCACCAAGGAGAGAAGCAACCTGGAACTAAGGAGAAATTTCCTGACAATGAGAACAATTAACCAGTGGAACAGCTTGCCACCAGAAATTGTGGGTGCTCCATCACTGGAGGTTTTTAAGAAGAGATTGGACAGCCATTTGCCTGAAATGATACAAGATCTCCTGCTTGAGCAGGGGGCTGGACTAGAAGACCTCCAAGGTCCCTTCCAGATTTGATTTCTATTCTGTTCCGTTCCTTTCCTGCTGCAGGATTCGGCCTCCCTTCTTGGCTTTTGGCCCCCTTTGGCACTGTCAACTGGCCTGTCCTCACTCCCACTGAGCCGGCCCTCCATGGCTTCGGCAGCAGCCTTTGGGTGGGGAGAAAACGGCTTCTGCCCTTGACTTCATTATTGCCTAGAAATCCATTGGCCCCTCCCTCCCTCCCTCCCTCCCTCGCTCCTCTCCTCTCCTTGCTTGGTTCTGCTCCAGTTGGTTGCTGCAAATCTGCTTCCCTTTTACAAGAGTTGAGCCCATTTCCTGAATACCATGATGGTGCAATTCCCTCGTTCTCTCCTTGGGCCCCCTTCTGCCAGAGACCCTCCGCTCGCAGCCACTTGGGTAGGGCCTGAGGGGGCTTTGCCAAAGTGCAGCCTCTTGTCTTCTACGCCGGCCTGCCTGCCTGCCTGCCTGCTGTGGGTTGTGGCATGAGGAGGGGGAGCTGCCCCCTCGCGTTGCAGGGGCCCCTCAGCCTCCAATGGAGGATGCCAGCCCTGCCCCTTCCCTGGGTGATCTGGTCTCTGGAGCCAGGGCTGTGCTGCCAGCTCAGCTGGACCCACAGCAGAGGGAGAAGGGGGGGGGCTCTTGCTGCCCTGCGAGGATGGATCAGGAAAAGGATCTAGTGTGATCTGCATTTTTTTTCTCTTTTTTTTTGTGATGATTGGAACTGAAATTGAATACAGAAATTGAAATGAAAGATGCCCAACTCCTTTGCCGTTCTTAGAGGGCCTGGTTGCAGATCTTCTCAGCAAAGTCCTCCTCTGGTCTGGGCCTGTTCCACTTTTTCTCCACTCCTTGGTCGTTTGTGCAGCGGAAGAAATAGATGCAGCACCCAAAATGTGGCCTCATTGGCACGTTCCCTCCAGTCAGTCGGCCACAAGGCTTCCCTTTCTGCAGTTCACAACCGCTTTGGCCTTTTCAGCTGCTGCATCAGGCTGCCTGCTCAGGTTTTGCTGGTGTCTGCTGGGTCTCTTGGGCTACCGCCACTTGATCCTTCCGGTCCTGTGCTAAGGCCTGCAACCCCCCCCCCCGCCCCCCAAGATGTATGAAGGGAGCCTTATCACAGCCAAGCATCGTCCTGTGGGATCTGATGGGATCGTAGGCCCATTTGGGCTTGTGGGTTTCTTTTCTTCTATCTACGGTATAATCTGATCCTCTCGGCGTGGCGTCCTCTTCAAATCTTGCCTGTGCAGCCATCCTTCAGTTGGTTGCTGAAGATGGTGAGCAGAACTGAACAGAGAACGGAGTCCTGGGGGACCCCCCTGGCTCTTCCCTTCACGACGAGGCAGAACCATTTCCAGGCAGACTTTTCAGGCGTTTGGCCAACCAATTGGGGACTGGAGGCTAAAACATAGGAAGAAACGGTTGCTGGAACTGGGAATGTCTAGTCTGATGAAAGGAAGGACCGGGGTGACATGATAGCATCTTCCAATATCTGAGGGGCTTCTCCAAAGAAGAGGGGGGGTCAAACTATTCTCCAAAGCACCTGAGGGGGGCAGGACAAGAAGCGATGGATGGAAACTGAACAAGGGGAGAAGCAACTTAGAACTAAGGAGGAATTTCCTGACAGAACAATTAACCAGTGGAACAACTTGCCTCCAGAAGTTGTGAATGCTCCAACACTGGAAGTTTTTAAGAAGAGGTTGGATAACCATTTGCCTGAAGTGGTGTGGGGTTTCCTGCCTGGGCAGGGGGTTGGACTAGAAGACCTCTAAGGTCCCTTCCAACTCTTCTATTCTATTCTATTCTATTCTATTCTATTCTATTCCAAATCTCCCAGGCTGAAGTACCACCGGGTGCCCCTCCCCCGCCCACCTCATCCAGCAGGGCAGGGCAAGAGGTCTTGGCCAAGTGAGCTCAAGTCCAGCCCACCCCCTCAGGGGAGAGAAGTGCCCTTGATGGACCCAGGCCGGCTCCTCCGCTGCCGGATGCCCCCTCCTAGGGTGCCTTCCCAGGACACAGGGGTTCCTGGACTGCCCCTTCCCCTTTTTGACCATTGAGGGATGTTTTTGTGCCCCTTAGAGGTTCTCCAGCAGGAGGTTTCAGAGACTCGGTTCAGCAGCCCTGAGAGCCCTCTGTGCACAGCTGGGACCGGGGCTTCATTTGGGGGGCAAGGGGAGTCCCCAGCTGCACCCGCCTCCTGTCTCCTTGCAAGCAGCCTCTCCTGAGAGAACGCAGCTCCCCCCCCAAGAGAGCCAGGGAGTCCTCGACTTACGACAGTTCATTTAGTGATCGTTCACAGTTACAACGGATCCGAAAAAAGTGAGCTATGACCATATTTTCACAGTTACCTCTGTAGCATCTCCTGATCATGGGATCAAAATTCAGATGCTTGGCAACTGACTTGTATGGACGACTGTTGCTCTATCTCAAGGTCACATGATCCCCTTTTGACAAGCAATTGGGGAAGCCAGATTCACTTAGCGACCGGGTTACTCACTTATTAATTGCAGTGATTCACTTAACAATTGTGGCAAGAAAGGTCGTAAAATGGGGCAAAACTCAACAACTGTCTCACTTAACAACAGGCATTTTGGCCTCAATTGTGGTTGTAAGTTGAGGACTAGCTGCATGAAAAGGTTGACTTCCTTGCTCATGACAGGAAACACAAAATAATATGGCTTTAAAACCGGAGACGGAAGTGGTGGCCGAGTGTTGGGGTCCAAGCAGAGCCCTCATCCGGGCCTTCCCAGCCTCCAGGACTGGCCCAAGCTCTTCCTCAGCCTCCTCGCTGTCCGACTCCGCTGCCAGCTCCGCAGGCTGCTGTTTGACTACAACCCTTTGGGGCTCAGCCTGCTGAGGTTCCACTGCCAAGCCTTGCCCAGAGGAAAAGGCCAGGGCTGTCCACGAGCACCACGCCTTCTGGGCAAGGCCTGGGTGGCGTCTGCGGAGCCAGGGAAGCAGATCTCCGGATAGGAAGAGAAGGCAGCCGGTTCCTCCTGAGGGCAGCCACTGAGGCGAGTCGGAGGCTCCCTCCGTCTGGTAAGAGGCAGCCTGGGGAGGGCTGGGGGCTGCCGAAGGTGCGGGTGCCCTTTCTCCCTGTTCCTCAGTGGGAGCAGCCCCTGTGGCAGCAGTGAGGGCGCCTGCCTGGCACGTGGCCATGTTTCATGCCCCAATGTCTCTGCCAAGCTTCTGGCCAGGCTGGTTTCCTTGCTGCCTTGGCCCTCCTGGGCAAGCGGCTCCTGCTGCTCCTTTGGGGGTTGAGGGGGAGTTTGAGGAAGGTGACCCTTTGCTTCCTCTGAGGAACAAGCAGGAGGGGTTTGCATCTCTCAGGATTTACATATGGGAGCCCATGTAGCCCACATAAAGGTTCCCCTGCCCAGTCGTGCCCCACTCTGGGCGCGGTGCTCATCTCCATGTCTCGGTTGTCCAAAGACTCCTCCCTGGTCATGTGGTCGGCAGGACTATACACCGAGGCACACAGAACGCTGTCACTTTCCCACCAAAGTGGTACCTATTTATCTACTCGCTTTGGCATGCTTTCGAACTCTTAGATGGGCAGGAACTGTGGCAAGGATGGCAGCTCAGCCCTTTGCATGGTGCTCGGGTCTTGAACCCAGGCTGGCAGCTCCGTGGGCCATGGCATTCCCCCCCTCCCCCCCCCATAGCACACATATAGCATCCCTTGTTTTGGGCTTTGGCCGGTGCTCCCCACCTGTCCGTCTTCCCGGGTAAAGCAGGCAGGAAACGCAAGCAGAGGAATTGATTCTACTTCACCTAAGGCTCCATGGACAGAGTCCTGCAAGTCGGAAAGAACAAACTTCCTTGTCCCGTTAGGACGGGTCCTTCCCGAGTTCCTTCCTCTGACCACGAAGCAACGGGGGGCTCCTGCCTCTCTTCTCTGGTGGCTTCCTGGGCAGCCTCCCTTCCCCTCCTCCAAGGCCATCCACCCTCCCCAATGCACTGCCCCTCCCTGGCCCAGAAAGAAGTGCCCGGGGGGGGGGCTGCAATGGCCCGTCCAACCGGCTCCTCACCAGAGCAACGAATGAGGGCCTGGTGGGAGATCTCCAAGGGGAGCAGGGTAGATCTCAGCTCAACGCAGCAAATGGGCTCCCTGCTGGCCTTGCTTTGCACAGGGAAGCTGCGTGGTGGGTGCCCCTCGTGCCCTGGCTGGCTATGGGGGGCGGGAGGCAGACCAATGGCACAGCCACAAGGGATCAGGTTTTCAAAGGGTCAAGTTGGAGCCAGCCCTGGGCTCTGACAATATTTGGGTGGCTCACTGGACCCTGGCCAAGAATTGGTGGCCTGGCCTGAAGGAGACAGGGAGAAGCTCTCTGGCCCAAACCTCCTCGCCCTGCTTGAGAGGAGGAGGAAAACTGGAACTGCCACTATTAACGTTGACAGAAGCCATGCTTTGAAAGCCAACAGACCGTTCAAATCTGGTGAGAGGATGCAGACAACCTGCGAAGTTCCTGGGGCCGCTTGCAGTGCTTGTGGCTTTCAGGAAATCAGAGCAAGGCAATCCGAAGAATCCTGCTTGTGGGTTCTGTGAATGGGGACCCCTCCCCCTCCCCCTCCCCCCTCTGCCTTCATAAACCCTGGAAGGATGGAAGGAAGCCATGGTTCTTGGCTGCTGCCTCCAGTGGTTTTCCCCTCCCTCCCTCCAGAATGAGAGACCTGGCACAGAGCAGGGGAAAAGACGGTGAGCTAAATACAAATTGATTTATTAAATAGATATGATTGCTTCCCGTCTATTCGATGGATGGAATTTGCTCACAGGGCTGTGGAAGTGGCCCTAAACTGTCCTACAAACATGTAAAGGGGAACAGACAAATTTAAGAGGAGAAGAAGAGAAAGAAGAGGGACAACCTAGTACTAAGGAGGGATTTCCTGACAGTGAGAACAATTCATCAGTGGAACAGCTTGCCACCAGAAGTTCCGTGGTTGCTCCAACACTGGAAGCTTTTAAGAAGAGATTGGACAACCCTTTGTCTGAAATGGTATAGAGGGTCTCCCGCCATGGACAGAGGATTGGGCTAGAAGACCTCCAAGGCCCCTCCCAAGCCTGTTAGTCTCTTATCTAACTTCCATGGCACAGAATCTCTCTCTCTCTCTCTCTCTCTCTCTCTCTCTCTCTCTCTCTCTCTCTCTCTCTCTCTCTCTCTCTCTCTCTCTCTCTCTCTGCAATCTATTTTGGTCGGGCTGGGAAGGGGCCTCATGTGCAACACGGCCTCTCTTGATGCTTCAGGGCACAACTGCTTCCCTCGTGCTGCTTAGCTGCTGTTTGGAAAGCCTTTTCATGCATCCTCCTCAGGCAGCTGACTAGCAGAGGGAGGATGGGGGGGCTCTTCTCCGTCAGCCTGCTCTTCAACAGGAGGGGCCACAAGGAGAGAAACCGGTAGTCGGAGAGCTGCTGGTTGACCCAAGCAGAGCAGAGCAGAGCTTTGCAAGCAAAAGATGTGTGGACTTCAACTCCCAGAATTCCCCAGCCAGCGTGACAAACGTTGCCTTAGACCAGGGGTGGCCAGCCTTGGCCCCTTCAAGGCGGCTGTCGGGGGAATTCTGGAGTTGAAGTCGGTGCGTCTTGAAGAGCCCAAGGTTGGACACCTCCACCTCAGATGTCTCACTCAGCTCCCCCCCCTCCCTTGTCCACGCTGACTGGGGAAGCCTGTGCAGAGTGGCTAGCAGGGAAGGTGCCTTCGTACCCAGGCCAGAGGTGGCGCAGGGGGAAAGCCCCTGGACAGGAGGGGGCACGGCTGAGCTGGGCTGGCAGGGCCGGAGGTGGCTCTTCCCTCCTTCAGGGCAAGCCATGCCTGTCCTTGATCAGCGCAGCCATTTCGGCTGCAGAGAGATGGAGCTACAACACGGGAAACCTTCCACTTACGTCCATTCGGTTAGTGACTATTCAAATTGTGGTATGAAGTGGAGGATTGCCTGCATTTTAACGGACGCAGCTCAGTGATCTGTTTCCCTGATTTCCATGGGGCTGAACTGTGTTTTGTTTATTAAACGTCCCCCCGTTTCCTCCCTTCTACTCTTCCTTTATTTCCTGCAGTGAAATAAAATCCGGGCGCATCAGAGCCTCTGAAGGAGGAGGGAGGCGACACCCCTTGGCACCCCGCAGTCTTGGCGCAACTGGATTCAGGCATCGCATATTAGGAGCTACATCGATCTGAGCACAGCCCGCTCAGGAGGATGGGCCTCTTAGTCCACCTGCTGGTCTGCCTGCTGGGCACCGGCTCCTGGGTGGCCATCAATGGCGTGTGGGTGGAGCTGCCGCTGCTTGTGCCCCGCGTGCCCGAGGGCTGGCTCCTGCCCACCTACCTGACCATCATCATCCAGCTGGCCAACCTGGGGCCCCTGGCCTTCACCCTGGCGCACCGCTTCCTCCGGGGCCAGGCAGACGAGGTGGGCGTCATCTACGGGCTGCTGGCCCTGGGCTGCCTGGCCTGCCTCCTGCTGGCCTTCTTCTGGCAGGAGACGCGGCCGCTGGGCGCCTCCCAGTACAGCCTGGCGCTGCTGGTGCTGCTCTTCTTCCTGGCCCTGGTGGACTGCACCTCCTCCGTCACCTTCCTGCCCTACATGCGCCGGCTGCCACCTCGGCACCTCACCAGCTACTTCGTGGGGGAGGGGCTGAGCGGGCTCTTCCCGGGGCTGGTGGCGCTGGGGCAGGGGGTCAGCATGGCTCGCTGCGTCAATGCCAGCCTGGCGGGCAATGGCACCACGGAGGTGCTGGCCGAGTACCAGGAGGCCCGTTTCTCCGTCCGGACCTTCTTCCTCTTGCTGAGTGCCATGATGGCCTTCAGCCTGGCAGCCTTCCTCGTCCTCAACCACCTGCCTGGACTGGCAAAGGGGTACCGTGTCCAGCAAGGAAGCCCGGATGGCGCAGCAGCCACCGTGACGGGACATCGCGCGCTCAGGGCCATCGACTCCCGCTGCGGCCCAGTCTCCTCCCGTGCTCAGAAGGCCTGCGTCTTTGGGCTGATGGCCTGGGCCAACGCACTGACCAACGGCCTCCTCCCTCCGCTGCAGTCCTACTCCTGCCTGCCCTACGGCCGCCTCGCCTACCACCTGTCAGCCACCTTGGGCAGCCTGGCCAACCCGTTGGCCTGTTTCCTCGGGATGTTCCTGGTCAGCAGGTGAGCGGAGCCATGCTAGGGAGGCCCCAGCCCCAGTCCCAGGGTGGGAACTGGCCACACAGGGGCAGCCCAGCAGGCCCCTGAGAACCAGTGGGGAGAGATTTCAATCGGGGGCTCTTTGGCGGATGATCTCTCTGCAACAGCGAAGACAGAGGGCTGCCCAAAAACTCCCATTTCATTGGCCGCCTACATAGCTGCGCTGGGCACCCCTTACCCAAAGCGCTTGTCTCCCAGCTGGAGGGCAGGAATGACGCCGGGGAGGGGGCTTACAAGGACGTCCTCCCTTACCAAACCTGACCTGACTCTCAAGACCCTCCTTCAGGTAGACCCAGACCCTTGGTGCCCAGATGCCAACGCTGCACCTTCAAGGCAGCTGTGCAACTCCCCTGAGGTTCGGTGGGCAGCCCACCTTTGTGGCCAGAGAATCTGCCGGTGGGGGGGGGATGTCCTGGTTTGAGGAAAGGAGCACCTAATAAAGCAGCTTCCCATTTTGAGTGGCGTCCTGCCCAGCCTCCTCCCAGACCCTGAAAAAGGAGAGCCCATCCAGGGCCCCAGGTCAATGGGACCCTCCCCACATGGGCTTGTTTTCTCCTGGAAGAGGAAGGTGGGTCTCAGCAGAGCAGGCTTCAGGTGGGCAGCCAGGCAGAGGGGAGGGTGAAGTTGGTGGAAGACCCCCTCCTCCCAGGGAATCTGGCTCATGGGAAATGTAGATCTGAATAATGATGCTCTCCTTTCATTTTGCACTGGTGGGAGGTGGCAGCACAGGAGGACACACACACACACACACACACACACACACACACACAGAGAGAGAGAGAGGCTTTTCTGTCCTGAAGAGACAGGCCCCACATCCCAAGAGCCCTCCAAGCACAGGGGTTTCTGAACTGGGGGCAGGAGTTGGGTTTCCCAGGCTGCACCAGGCAGGCAGGTCGGTGTGGGAGTCACCCGCTGCCTCCTTTCCCACCTGTGTCCCCCCCCCTTTCAGGTCTCTGAGGCTGCTGGCTCTCCTCTCCTTGGCTGGATCCCTCCTGGCCTGTTACATCATCAGCACGGCATCTCTCAGCCCCTGCCCGCCCCTGCTCCATTCGCCCCTCGGCATTCTCCTCATCGTAAGTCCCCGCCCCGCCCCACTCCCCAAGGCTGCAGGGGGGTCGGCTGGGGAAGGGTCTGGGTGCCTGAGCCAAGCCTGCCCAGCTGGTCACTATCCCTGCCCTGGCCCACTTGACGGGGCCCCTTCAGCTGCAGTGGGGCCTCTTGGCTTTGGTGTGTTGTGTGAACGCAGCCTCCGTGGCTCGTGCGGGTGACGGGGTTGAGCTCAGCTAGTTGCGGCTTATTCAGAAAAGCTGTTTGGTTCAAGTCAGTGGTCTAGAATGGCAGAGCCTGCGGCTGGGCAGCTTCCACTTCGACACACAATGCCGCATCTCACAACGACAACAGAGGAGGACAGTGGCACCTTCAATTGGGTTTAGTCTATTTTGGGACCAGCTGTCCAGGAGTGAGGAGTCCACCCACACAGAGCAATTGGAGGAACAGGAGGGGGAGCCTACAACTGAGGCGGGGAGGCTGTGCCTGAAGTGCTTGTGGGGGGGGATCAAGGTGGGGGCCTATCCCAGCCTTCAGAAGGCTGCCCAAAGGGGCAGGGAATGCCTACAACTGTGCACGAGGCAGTCACGGTTGCCCAGAGTGGGGGACGCCTGAAGGGTCAAGCTGGCCACGCACAGCCATCCTCCCTTGGGCAGCCCCAGCATCCCTCTGAGCATGGGAGGTGGGGAGTGAGGCCCCCTTGTGGCCCTCTGGGGTGGGGCAGGCTGTGGTACCAGGGAGACGCCCAAGGCTTGACTGCTTCCCTCCCTTTTTGTTCAGGTCCTCTGTTGGGTCCTCTTCATCGGCCTCTTCTCTTACGTCAAGCTGATGATTGGCAAGATTCTGCGCGATGAGGGACGCAGCTCCCTGGTCTGGTGTGGGGCTGTGGTCCAGCTGGGCTCCATGGTGGGGGCTCTCATTATATTCCCCCTGGTCAGCATCTACGGCTTCTTCCACTCGGGAGACCCCTGCAACTCCAGCTGCCCCAGCTAATGGCACCCTGGAGGGGCCCACCACCACTGGGATTGTTGGCACTGGCCCTGCCACAAAAGCTGCCAAGAGGCCCCTCCCCTCCAGTCCTAGTCAGAATAGAGCTGGAAGGGACCTTGGAGGTCGTCCAGTCCAACCCCTGCTCAAGCAGGAGACCCTGAACCATTTCAGACAAGTGGCTGTCCAGTCTCTTCTTGAAAACCCCCAGTGATGAAGTACCTACTACTTCTAGTGGCAAGCTGTTCCACTGGTTAATGGTCCTCACTGTTAGGAAGTTTCTCCTTAATTCCAGGTTGCTTCTCTCTTTTATTCATTTCCACCCATTGCTTCTTGTCCTGCCCTCAGGTGCTTTGGAGAATAACTTGCCTCCCTCTTCTTTGGGGCAGCCCCTGAGATATTGGAAGACTGCTATCATGTCCCCCCTGGTCCTTCTTTTCTCTAGACTGGCCAGTGGCCGTACCCAAATCCTGCAACCGTTCTTCATAGGTTTGTCTTTAAACATCCTAGTTGCTCTTCACTGCACTTTTTCCAAAGTCTCAACATTTCTTTTTTTTGTAATGTGGTGACCAAAACTGGACGCAGGATTCCAGGTGGAGCCTTATTAAGGCTTTATAAAGCGGTACTAAGACTTCACGTGATTTTGATTCCATGCTGTCTCCCCCCCCCACCCCGGGAGATTGTGCTTCAGGTCAGCCTTGGCGGGAGGTGGTCTGGCAACAGCGGGGTCTCCTCTTTATTGCTGTCCCTTTTCTATATCCAGCTGATCCCCTCTGTGGCATTTAAGCTCCATTTTCTTTTGCCACAAGTTATATAAGGTTGGCAGGTCTTTTTTAAGGTGTCCAGCTGTTCTCTGCTTTCTTTCACAAGAGCAAAGTGGGGGGTGTTCCTTTTCCAGAGCAGCAGAATTGCATCAATTTTACAATTCCATCTTTGCGGGTGGGGGCAGAGTCAGCAGTCAGAATGAGCAGAATCTTCATTGATGAGTCTGGGGGCTACAAGCCAGGCTGGGAAAGTCAAACACACACACACACACACACACACACACTGCTTCTCTGCTGTTGCTACCAAGGATTCCCCCCCCCCATCTGTTCACTGTCCAACACTCAGTATCCAGGGCAAATTTCACCCTGATTCAGTTCAGGCAGACTTCCAAATTTGCAGAGCAGACTCGAGGTTCCAAGTCCCACCCAGAAGAAAACTCCCCAATCCCCTCCCACCCAGGGAGTGCTACTGCCAGCCCCGCCCCATTTGCTTTCCAAAGGGGGTCAGGCAAGCTTTTTTTTTTTAATTTTTTTTTATTTTTAAACAAACAAAACATAAAAAATCCATCTTCCATAACAATTGCAAACAGTGTGTCGGTCGGTTACAAATCCCTTGTGCTTCGTCCCCATATTCATATTTTACTAATTGTCTAATTTCTCATATCATCAACCTAATATATATCTTTGTATCATTATCCTCATTTATCATTTATCTAACAATGGCATCATCATTCCAGAAAAAATTATCTTCACATATTATAACATTCATTTTAGATTTCATATTTCATTTCCATGTTTTAGTATCTAGCCATTGATAAAATAAGTCCCATATCTTGTAATATTGTTTATCTTCTTGTTCTCTAATTTCAAATGTCAATTTATTCATTTCAGCACATTCCATAATTTTCTTAATAACATTATCTTGTATTGGTATTTTCTCGTTTTTCCAGTTTTTAGCAAACACAATTCTAACCGCTGTCAATACATTCACAATCAAATATCTCAATTCTCTATTGTATGTTTCTGGCACAATTCCTCATAAAAAAAATCTCTGGTTTAAAGTCTATGTGTTTTTTTTGTCATTTTTTCCAACCATGTGTGGATTTTAGTCCAGTATCTTTTAGCTTCTACACATGTCCACCACATATGGTAATATGAGCCTGGTATCTGATGACATTTCCAACACTTTTCTTATTTGTTCTTGAACATTCTGGCTACTCTCGTCGGGGGTAGATGCCACCTGTAAAACATCTTATGCAAATTCTCCTTGAGCAAGTCCTTGGAGGTAGACCCAAGGACCTCGTGCTGCAGTGCTGCTCAGGGCCACCAGAGGGCAGTAGGGCCCGTCAAAGAACCAAGAGCCGGTTCAGCCTTGGGGGGGGGGGGGGGGGCGGCAGCTGTGGGCCCACCTTCAGCAAAAGTGGGTCATCAGCCCAGGCTGACCAGGCTGCCCAAAGCCTCGGAAGGGAAAAGGAAGCGGGAGCCCCCTCCCCTCCAGCTGACCCTTCGCCGCCCGGGCATCCCTACAGGGTCCATTGGCCATCTGGCTGCCCCGGGACCCCAGCAGGCCGTTGGGAGGGAAGGTCCAAGCAAGGCAGCTGTGCGGTCCGGTGCCCTCCAAGGACGCTCCGCTCCCGCTTGGGCGAGGGGGCGTCGGGCGAAGAGAGCAGAGCCGGAAGGGAAGCCGCCCCGCCCGCCTGGGCCAGACTGGGACCCCCGCCCTCGCAGCCAGAGCGGCCGGCAGTTCCCAGCCTCGGGGAGACGGGCAGGTGCCTACCTGGCCCCTCATTACGGGGGCGGACACGGGCAGGTGAGTCCGCTCCGCCCCAGGGCCCCTTTCAAGGCAGACAAAGGCGCATTGAGCTTGGCAAAGGCCGCCTTGTTCTGCAGGGCCAGCGGGGGGGGGGGGGGGCCCCCCCCGGGCCCCCTGCCGCCCCCCCTAACCCCCGCCCCGCCCGCAGCGCCGCCTCCTGCCGCACACGGGGGCCGCCTAAGCCGCCTAAGCCGCCGCGGTGCTGCTGGGGCAGAGTTGGCACGAAGGGGGCCCCGCTGGACGCCCCAGGGAGAGCACCCCGTGCCCGGCCCGCTCGCCGCCCAGCGCCCCTCGGCCTGGCCAGAGAGCCCTCGCCCTCCCTCAAAGGGCCCTGGGGAGACCCGGCTCCCTTCCAGCGCCAACTGATGGCGGGCAGATGCCAAGGGGGGCACCGATCGCCCTCCTCGCGGGCCTCCTTGAGCTGTCCCCGCCCGGCCTTCCGTCGGGGAAGTGAGGCCGAGTTTCCCGGCTGAGACCGGCCCAGAGCAGGAGTCAAGCCGGGGCTGTGCGGGCTAAGGCGAAAAACGGGCCGGGGGGGCGGCGGTTGGCTGGGCTGATGAGCAAGAGCGGCCCCGAAGGGAGCCCTGGGCACGGGAGAGAGGCGGAGGCGCCCCTGCCGTCCACCGGGGCCAGAGCTGCCGGCCGCGTCTAGCGCCAGAAAGGACGCCCAGAGACCCCCAGCCGCCCCCGCTCCTGCCCTCCCTCCCTGCGCGGACCCGAGTCCGACCTGAGACCCGCCCGCAGGTGGGCCGGCGGGATAGAAGAGGCCGCCTCTCCAGCTCCCCCCCCCGCCCGGGCAGAAGTCGCTTGAGAGCCGGACCGACACAAAGGGCGCTTTGTTCTCCCGGTTGCTCCTCCCGGCCGACTTTCGGGGGGGCACCACCCAGCCCGACCATCCCCCGATTGCCTAACTCTGGGTTGGGGAGGGGCCGAGGCGGAAACCCCGGGGGCTGCAGGGGACGGGGGTGGTGCGCCAGCTCAGCCCCCGAGACCCGGCCTTAGGCAGGCAACCTGAGCCCCCCCGCCGACCCTTCCACGGGCCCGGTTGCTCCGAAGGAGGCGGAGGACGGTCGGCGCATCAGCCGGGGCCCCACTCTTGGGGCGGCCCACCGCTCGCCTCGCCCGGGCTGGCTGGGCAATAGGCGGCTTCCCCGGCTACCTGCGGCGCCGCTTCCTTTCTGCCATCCTCGGCCGGCTCGGCGCCCCCTGCCCCGTGCTTGGGGGAGGTCCCGGCGGGCTTGCCGCTCCCCCCTTTCTGCCAGCCGGGGATTGGCTGCCCCCACCCGGCCTGGCTCCGCCCTGGCCCCCGAGGCCCATATAAGGCTCCCGGCCGGCCCTTCTGCCCAGCGGCGTCATGCGGGCGCAGCACAGGTGGGCGCTCTGGGGCGGGAGGCGGGCGAGGGCTGCGGGGCTCCCCGTCATCCCGCGGGGCCCTCAGGAGCTGCCCGAGCCGCTGGGCTCGCTCCTGGGCCGGTAGGAAGGGCGGGGGCTGGGCCCGACGGCTCCATGCGCCCCGCTCGCCCGCCTTGACTCGCGGCCCTTCTGCCCTCCGCTGCAGGTTCCTGGCCCTCGCGGCAGCCGCGCTCCTGCTCCTGGCCGTGGTGGCCGCCGACGGTGAGATGCGGCCGCTCCGGCGGCCACCCCGAGACCTCGCCCCGACCCTCCGTCTCCCGCGGGAGCACCGCGCTGGAAAGGCCGCCATCGGCTGGGAGGGCGCTCCGTCTCCAGGGGCCTCTGCGCGCCCCTCGGGACAGCTGCTTCGATGGGCTCGAGCCTAGATGTGCAGCCCCCCCCCCTCCCCCCCCCTGGTTCCAGGCCTTTGTTCCACCTGCCTCCCTCTTTTCGCAGAGCCGCTGAGCTCGCCAGAGCCCCCATCCCCAGCCGCCAGCCAGACCCCAGGTATGATGTGGGGACCCCCCCCCCAGGCCTGGCAGCTGATCGGTTCCTGGGCTGCCTCCACTTTTTCAGAATCCCTGAGACCCACCAGAAGCTGGGGGGAGGGGCGGAAGGCAAGAAGCAGAAAGCAGCTTCTGACCCCTTGCAAGAGTTATGGGGGAAATGTCCAGTGGGGGAGCCCAGCCTCTTCCTCTCCCCTTTTTCAGAGCCCCTGGCAAATTCTGAGCCCCTCATCGCTGGCAAATCGGAGGCCTCTGGAGAAAGTAAGAGACCCCCCCAGAAAGCAGGGCTCACTTAGGGTCAAAGCAGTCAAGGGGGGGAGGGGAAGGAAGCTGTCCAGGGTGAATCCCAGTTGACCTCAGTCCCCAGCAGCCCCCCAGCAGCCAGCTTTCCCTCATCTGTCTGCCAGGCGTCCTTTGATGCCTCTGCCTCTCTCTCTGCAGGTGAGATCGCCAGTCCTGTGGAGCAAGCAACGACAGGTAGGCCACGGGGCAGTCTGGGCACTCTCTGCCCCCATTCCGGCTCTTTGCAGGGCAGCCTGCTTTGGCTGGCGCCTGCCCTGGAGATTGCCCCCGGCCCAGCCTTCCTCCCCGCTCTTTCTTGGGCAGGTGGGGCCCCCGTGAGCTTTGAGCAGGCCGATCGATCTCACACTGAGGAGATGAACGGGGACCTGCTGCACAGTGATGCCTCCAACCTCGGCTCCTTCAGCCTGGACCCCCTCCCCGGAGACGCACAGAGCGGTGGGTGGGCTGCGGCAGGGCAGGGGGGCTTGGCCCTGTGTCCCACAGCTGGGAGGGAAGCCCCAAAGGCTGGCGGGCCCCGGGCTGCCCAGGGTGTCCTGTGGGAGTCCGGCCAGAGGGACCTTCTCTGGGCATCTCCTCTCAAGCGGTTGCTTCCCAGAGAAAAAACAGCCGCTCATCCTGGCTGGCAAAGCTACAAGCTGGGTGCCATCCTCTCCTGCCAGCCGCCTTCGCCACGCTTTGGTGCTTGGGCAGGGAAGAGACGGGGTCTTTGTTTCCACAGGCCCAGCCATGGAGGAGCCGTCCCACTCCCACGAGTCCCAGGAAAGTAAGTCCTCCCTGGGTTGGGAATCCCAGGGAGCGCTTGGAGAGGAAGGGGCAGCTCTGGCTCCTTTCCTCCTCCACCCAGTCTCTCAAGGGGAGGGGCCCACACCTGGCTACGGGCTTGGGCTGGCCAGGGAGGGGGGAGTTAGAGCCAGGGAGGCTGTGCTTGCATCGGGGTCTCTCTCCCTTCTAGGCTTGGACCATGAAGTTGATTCGGAAGAGTCCCTGACATCCCCAGATAAGTGTCCCTGGCAGTGCTCTGCCTCCCTCACCCCCTTGGAAGAGCAGGTTGCAAATCGGGGGGGTTTGCAAATGGCAAATCCTGCTGGGGGGGGGTCTTCTTCCCACCAGGTGGGGGAAAGAGCCCCCAAGTTTGCGAGGTGTGTGTGTGCCCTCGGTTGTCTTCCTGGTTGCCTCTCTGGCTGCTGGGGGACTTTCAGCAAGGTGCCCGACACCCAGGGATGCCCAAGTCAGTGGCCCAGCATGACTTACTTTGCTTCGGGGGTAGAGCACAGGGTCCCCGCTTGGATGGCCAGGAAAGCTCTCTGGGAGTTGGGGGGGAGGTCAGCCAAGCAGAGCTCCGGTTGGGGGGCTCCTGGAGGCGAAACCCAGCTCTGTCCTGCTGAGCCCTCGGGGGGGGGGGGACTCCCAAGGGCCACCCCGGCTTCTTCCAGGGCAAGGTAACGAGGGTCTCTTCTCCTCCACAGGCATGTGAGGGGGGCTGCTGCCACCTCTTCCCACCCTTCTGGAAGATCCTGAGATGCCCCGGTCGACAGCAAAGATCTGCCTGTTCTTGTGCTATCTAACCCGGATCCATTGGCTCAGCCATTCCCTGCTTCCTGCCACAGCTAGGCCCAGAATAGGCACGTGTGTGTGTGTGTGTGCGCGTGTGCGCGCAATTTGGGAAAGATGACAATGGCACCAGCATGTTCCTCTGAGGTTGCGGCATCTTCGTGTCCTCTGGCCAGAGGAGCGAGGCTGCAGGGAAGGGCTAGAAGGCCAATTGCTCTTCCAGGGAAGGGCTAGAAGGCCAATTGGCCAGCCCTCCCTCTCAAGCAGTGGCCCTTTTAGGACCTATGGACCAACTCCCAGAATTCCTCAGCCAGCCGTGCTGGGATTCTGGGAGTTGAAGTCCACAAGTCACAAGGGCGACTGTTCCCCCCACCCCGTTCTCTAAAGCATAGATATCTATGTGCCCCCAACCCCTTACCCATCAGCGCTTGGCAGCAGCAGCAACAGTGGCCCTTTGGGGGGGGAAACTAGGTGACTCCCAGCACCAAGCGGGGCCCACCCCCAACCTGTCGGTCTCGGCCTAAGCACCTCCAGGCCCCCCCGCAGCTGCCCTGGCCTCTGCTTGGGGAATCTCCCCATGAGCCGGCGTCTCCTTGAAGGAAGGGGGCTGGGGGGTGGGCAGTTCATCCATGGTGCTCTCTTCTCTGCTGCCCACTCGTGGCCCTGGCTAGATCACCTACGGGTGGGACGGAAGATCACGACTTCCCTGTCTGGGGAGGGGGGAGGGGGGGCATGTCTGCAGAGGGAAGGGATTATGGGCCCAATCTGCAGAGCCTCAACGGAGGCTCCCTGAGATGGAGACGAGACCCCCAGAGGGGCTCCAGAGGGGTCTTCCTGGATTGACAAGTGGGCCCAAAGACTTTTATGGAGTGGATGCCAAAACAGGCCTGGCTTTATTTGGTCCACCGTGTGTGTCTAGAGCCCCGCAGGCTGGGAAACCTGCCATCCAGTGGCCATCTTTTAAGATTTGGGGGGTGGGCCTTGTGGAGGAGGAGGGGGGGAGGTTTCTTGAGGATGGATGGTGACCTGGTCAGGTGTGTGTGTGTGTGTGTGTGTGTGTGTGTGCTCCAGGCTTCCCCTTGACCCCGTAGAGGTGGTGGTGGTGGGCTCTGCCTTTGCTCTGCCTGGCTGCTCCTTCAGCACCTCCCCTTCTGTAGAGACGGGCAGCCTCTGTAATCAATAAAGATGTACAAACCGCTCTGGGTCTCCGTGTTGCTGACCCCCCCCCCCCGGCCAGGAAGCTGCTTCCTTGTGTGCCCCACAACCATGGGGCACCCGCCTCGCAGCTTGGCCAGGCCCACCTAACAGCCCTCGGGCGGGAGGATCCCAGAATTTGCCCTCAGATCCTGTGGAACCCAAATGGGGCCCTTTCAGCTCTGCCGTCCTCGGGCATCACTTCAGGTTCGCTCATTGTGGTTGTGGCCACAGATCCTGCCCCAGAAGCGGGGGAAAAAAAGGAGTCACGAAGCCAGGCAGGACCTGCAACACCTGGGGTGTGACAGGTGGGGGGGGGGAGGAAACGCCCCTCTAAAATCAAGGGGTGGGGAGTGGGTGTGGGGGGGCGTTAAGGGACTGGGACCAGTAGAAACGGCCACAAGCAGCTGCTCATCCCAAGAGGCTCATCCTTCACCAACATCCCGGACCCTCCTGCTTCCCCCTTCAGGTCGGCTGCCCCCACAAGCCCCACCTGCTCATGGGGCCTGGTGGACGAAGGCTTGAGGAGACGGAAGCCACGGACCCACCGGCCTTCCTCTTTTGCCTTCCGCGGGAGGACTGAAAGCAGGCTGGCCGCCCTTGCTGGAGGGGCCACCAGGGGTGGGGGATCTCAAGGTTGACTCTGCGCTGTCTCGGACCACTGCCCATCGGCCCACCGTTCCCTGACAGCCTGCAGTGGCTCAAGGGCAGATGCCAGCCACACAAGGCCAGGCCCCCCCAGAGCAACAGCTCCCTGGCTGACCTCTGGGATAGGGTTGGGCAGCCCCAATGAGGGCGAAGGCAGCTGGGAAGCTGGAACTGGCTGAGGCTGAGCCCAAAGAGCCACCCAACGGCTGCCCTTTCTGGGTGCTGGTCATCCGCCAGCCTGGCCTGGGAAAGGGGAGACCAACGGCCAGCCCTGCAGCAGGCTGGCATTTAGCTTGGGAAAGCCGGGGGGGGGGGGGGGGGGGGGGGGGCCGAGGGGAGGGGCCTGGGTTCCGCGTCCATGACTTCAAGTGTGGGGGAGGGGGCAGTCCCTTGTCAGAGGCATTGAAGGAGGGGGCCGGGCATGGGGGCCCCACGGCCTCCTTCCCAAGGGGATTCTGCAAGACCTTTTCAGAGCTGCAGGTGCAGTGGGAGGGAGTCAAGAGGGCGGGGGGGCTCAGGGTGCAGGCACAAAATGTAAGCCAAGCTCAAGGGGAGCTTAGGTGTTTTTCCCAAGGCGCCTGTCGGACTGGGACCAGACCGGCCACTGCCTGACCCCCCTCCTAGGCCGGCCGGCCGGTCTTCTCCCAAGTTCCCCTCCAGAAGGAGCCGCTTCAGAGGCGTCCAAGGCAATAAAAGTTGATATCGGGATGGGCTGTTCCGTAGAGATATATATATATTTGAGCATGTATATATAGATATTTATATTGTGAGAGAAGAGAGAGGAAGGGGCGGCTAGCGTCTTCTCTTATGTAAAAATTCAAAATACAATTTTTCTAGTAACAATCAAAATGTAAATGTACAAACCCTTCACTGCTAAGCCAAGGGAAATAAAATAAACCCCACTGGGGAAAGGTGGGGGCTGGGGAACCTTCTCTCGGGGGTCCCCAGGAGGCAGGGCTGCAGCCGTCCTCCGGAGACCCCTCCATCCTTCGGCCGGCTGCTTGGAGGAGCCACCGAGTCTCGGACAGGCGGCTTCGCCTTCAAGACACGGAGAGTGACTGTCACGCAGGCGAGACAAACATCCTCTGGCCGCCACGGCCACGTCCCTCCGCGCCCCGTGCCTGCCCTGGGCCGCTCTCTCGGAAACAGGGCCCACCACACCACCGTGGGAAGCACACACGCAGCGGCCCCCTTGTCCCGAAGGAGCTCAGCCCCGCGGCAGGGCAGGCGGTGGCTGCGGCAGGCCTTCCCGGCTGAGCTGGGCCTTAGGAGACCGCGGGGTCCTTGGGCTTGGGGTGCTCCGTCCCAGAGAGCAGGGAGAGGCTGGGGTCCTCCAAGCAGTCCTCCCCCTCTGGGAAGCCCGGTCCTTCGCCCAGCTCGAAGAAAATGGGCACATCCGCGCTGCCCACGTCCACCGTGTTGGAGTCCACCAGGAACAAGGGCTGGGCCGTGTAATGTACCAACTGTTTGCCTGGCAAGGCAGAGAAAAGGGGCAGGGGACACAGATCAGAGGGGAGGGAAAGGCAGGAAGGCCACAGCCAAAAGCCCCAGAAGCCCTTGGATCGGGGGCGGGGGCAGCTCTGGCAACTATGCCAACTTTACTGTGGACCCCCAGAATCCCTGAGCCAGCCACGGCCTGCCTGCCCTCGGGCCTCTTGGGGTCTCCCCAGACAGCACCCCCCCCTGCTCCAGCTGGCCCCTCTGGGCTGGCCCAGCATGCAGAGCCCAGTGCCCACCTGCGTCTGTCGTGGCGTCTTCTCCCTCGGCTGGCTTCTGCTGCTCTTGGGAGGAGAGGAGCTCCTGGATCTGCAAAAGAGCCCCTCAGGGGTGAGATGCCGGGGGAGCCCCTCCCTCACAGATGCACCCAAGCAAGAGACCATGTCCCCACCCCACGCTCCTTCCTTCCCCCATTCCTTGTTCCTGCAGCGGCCACTCTCAGTGCTCAGAGGAGGGGCCCCTTTGGCTCTGCGCCGCTTCCTGGCAATCAGCATGCCCCCGGGTGCTCCCACCGAGAGGGAAGCCTCTGCCGACAGGCCTATGAGCCAAAAGCCGGTCACATCTACGGCCAGAGGCCGGCCCCTCTGAAGGGAAAGAAGCCCCCGGGTGAGGGAGGGAGGACCGAGGGGGCAGCTCAGCCTCGTCTGATCAGGGCCTGCTGGAGAGGGGGTGGGGGTGGTCTCTGCCAACGCAGACTCACGCTGGCCAGGCTGCTGTCCAGATCCGGCAGGTTCATGTCCGTCACCCCCATGGAAGGGCTGAAGAGCTGTTGGGAGAGGAGGGGAAGGGGAGCTGGGGTTAGGGGGGAAGGTCCACTCGCCCTGAAGCCCCCCCGCTGCCCGAGGCTCCGGGAGGAGGGCTTACGTCCAGCAAGGCGCTCGTGTCCACGCTGAAGCTGTGGGTGGTCAGCATGTTCTGCAGGTGGTCCAGGCTGGAGTCGATGGTCTCCAAGTGCTCGTTCAGCTCGTTCCTGGGGAGGCAAAAGGGCACCTCGTGGGGCGGGGGCGGGGGAGGGCAGAGCACGCCACGGACTCTATGGGCACTGCCTGACAACACCACGAGCCTCTTGTTCCTGCTCCGGAATCTTTTGGGGGTGGGAGGAAAGCACCGAGAAAGCCAGTGCCCGGGCTCCCCCTCAGAAGCTGCCCCTCCAGCTCCTCCTGCCATCAGCTGCCCCTGCGTTGGTTGCGCATGTGCAACCACACGCACGTTTCACGAGTGCTGCCTCGGGGTCTCTGAATCCACATGCAAGAGGGCCCTCAGCACAGCCGCTCTGCAGTGGCAGCCCCTCCCAAGAACCAGCAGAGCCCCCAGGAGGTGCAGGCGGTGGGGAGGGAAGGCTGGGAGGACGCCACCTTGACTCCTCTGCTGGGTGGATGTCTCAGCCCCTCTGGAGCCGAGGGGCTTTTGACACTCGACAGTGTGTCTGTGTGTGAACAGACAATGCCTGGGACGAAGAAGAGCCTGGGGCCAGCCCCCACCCCCACCCCAAGGATATGGAGAGGCCAGCTGGACCCCTAACAGCTGCGTAATCCACCCAGGGCCCCCTTCTCAGCAACCAGGATGGGCCTGGACACTCCCTCCTGTTCCTCTCTCCCTCTCCTTGGATCTACTGCCAGCGGGGAACCCCCCTCCCCAATCTGGAGAGCCTTCAAGAGAGCCCCAGGCTTGGAAGATGTAAGACCCCCTTCCTTGGGCTCAAGGGTGCCAACGCCAGCCGGCTGGCGATTCCCCAAACTCCAGGAATGGCTGCCCTCTGGGTCAGCCCAACTCTGCTCTGGCCCCCTCAGCCCTCCACATGGAGGTCAAAGGGGGGATGCCCTTGCCGCAAATTCAGGGTCTGTCCTCGGTGGGGTGAGCAAGGCTGCGTCTCTGGCGCTGGAGGAGCCCCATAAAGCTCTGCCAGCTCCGAGGGCAAAGCAGCCGCCCCCTTCGGCCCACTTCCCTGGGCTTCTCCCTCTCAGCTCCCTGCCCCATCTCCCCACACGGCTCCTGAGGGGGCAGCCACGGCTGAGGAAATGCTAACCCTTGCTGTGGTCTGCAGTGCAGAGAGGAAGAGGAGGAGGAAGGGCTGGGGAAAAGGCAGGTGACCTCAGACATCTGCGGAGCACGACCCACACTGAAAGATACAAGAAGAAGAATCGATGGAGACCCACAGAGTCTCACCTGGAGCGAGGAAAGCGCGGAGGGCTTGACCAGCCAGAGAGCTGCTGAGGCCCAGCCCCCTCATGCCACGGGGCTCTTCCTGGCAGAGAGGAAAGGAGGCTTCCTCCAAAGGATGCCACCCCAGACTGAGTGGGCTCTCTCTGTGTGGGTGAGTGTCCTGGGGGGCATCGCTCTACTTCTTGGGCCTTAGCCTTTTGGGGGCTTTGAACCTCACAGCCCGGAGAGGGCTCAGAAGCGACACCCTTTACGCCACAGACGCCCCTCGCCCAAGGGACCCCCGTCCATCTTGTCCAGGCCACCTCCTACAACCCGAGACTGGAAGTCAGTTCTATCTGGCTCTGGAGCTGTTCCAGCTCAGAAGACAACACCCCCCCCATTCAGGTTCTGGTGTGCCCCACTCCCCCAAGTGCAGAAGGGCCTTTGGGGCAGAGAGGAGAATCCCGGTCCTTCCTGGCCTGCTTGTGTCAGCCCCATGAGGCCCCCATGAGGTCAGGGGCCTCCAACCTTGCAAGTTTAAGACTTGTGGACTTCAACTCCCAGAATTCCGGGTGTTAGTCTTACAGTTGCCAAGGCTGGACATCCCTGGACTACAGCAAACCTACAGGTGGAGCTCGGGAGGCAGGCTGGTGGGCAAGAAGGGGTGGGACCCCCTGCCCTGGGCTTGATGCCACACACTTACTTGTCAAGACAGGCCACGCTGAGGCACTTTTCGTGGGGCTGCGCTTGGGTGCCGTGGGAGGGAGGGGCTGTGGAAGAAGTGCTGCCGGCCTGCTCCTCTTGGAAGATGGAGTCAATGAAGGCGGAGGGCGAGAGGGGGGTGCCCAGGGGGCTGACATCCTCTGCAGAAGGGCTGCACGAGGGGCTCGGGGGCTCTTCTTTGATACGGACCACGGGGCTGCTCCTAAGACAGTCCGGGAGACAAGGGGAAGGGGGAGAAGCAATGAAGGCAGGCAAACTGGCTAGGAAAAACACCAGGGGCTTTAAGGACGAGGCTTGTGGCTGCAGGCAAGAATGGGGAGGGTCTCGCCACCACCACAGAGCTGCCCTCCCCAGCTGATTTCTCCTCTTCTTAAGCGCAAAGGTGTCAGAGCAAACCCTGGGGACAGATAATGTAATAACAGAATTGGAAGGAGCCTTGGAGGTCTTCAACCCCCTTCTCAAGAGGGGACCCTGCACCGTTTCAGACAACTTTCCAGTCTCTTCTTAAAAACTTCAGTGATGGAGCACCACAACTCCTGGAGAAAAGCCATTGCACCAGTTACTTGTTCTCCCAGTAGGAAATTCCTCCTTAGTTCCGGGCTGGCTCTCTCCTTGCTTCTTCTCTTGCTTTCCTTCAGGTGCTTTGGAGAGCAGCCCCTGACCTTCCCACGTCTTTGTGGCAGCCCATCAAATATTGGAAGATGCTTTCATGTCACCCCTGACCCTCCTTCTTTTCATTAGACCAGACCTACCCAATTCCTGCAATTGTTCTTCATATATTTTAGCCTTCGGTCTCCTAATTATCTTGGTTGCTCTTCTCTGCACTCTTTCTAGAGTCTCCACGTCTTTTTTACATCGTGGCAACCATGGAGGTGGAGGGGACGTCCAGTGTTCACACTCCAGCAGCTCCAGAGATGGAAAAACGGAGCAGAACTGACCCACTTTGGAAAGCAACTGGGCCCCCTTGAGAAGCAGGAGCTCCTGTCTGGCCATAAATGACCTAAGTGCCATGGCTGCGTCCCTTGGCAGGGTGAGGGGTGGGGGAGAGGAAGCAATAGGTGGCTGGGGTCTTCACGGCCCTGAATCCAGGGAACGCTGGGCAGGGGACCAAGCAGGCCACCGCCCTGTCAAGGGGCCATTCTCCTCTAGGCGGAACTCCTGGCCCCAGAGCCCCCCTGAGGCTCAGCAGCATGGGGGAAGTGGCTTCTGGGCAGATGAGGCAAAGCAGCCTCAGAGCCTGTGGTGAGTGACAGGAGCAGAGCTCACCCATCAAGCCAAGATCCTGGGGCTGCTCTACTCGGCGTGGCAGAAAACAGAGACCTCGCCACAAATGACGATCACCCCAGACAGACTCGGGAGGTCCCAAAGCCACCTTGAACCGGCAATCAAGCTGTTCCTAACTTTTGTACCATTTTTCCTTTTCTCACTGGAAAAGGGAGGAGGATAAATACCCAGCTCTCCCCTTTGGGTGCGGATGCAAACTTGATCAGAGGCAGGCCAAGACTCCGAGACAGCCTCCCGCCCAGGAGAGACAGCCCACCTTCTGAGTAAAGCCCCCCCTTGCCCAGAGAAGCCCCCTACCTCTCCTCCTCAAAGCTGCTGCTGCTGGGGCAGGGAGACGGGCTGGACTGGGCCAGTTCAGTCACATCGGAGATGATCGGGCCGGAATCTGGAGAGTAAAGTTTGGGGCCGCCATATGCTGGGGAGGATGCCTGTAATGAGAAGGAAGGGGGACGGGACGAGTCTTTCCTCTGCTAGCCATGGGCCAAGAGGCAGCCCCCCCCCCTGAGGCAAGTGAAGCACAGGGCCCCACTCACAGGGGAGAAGGGGTCTTTCCAGGAGGGGCTGCTTCCTTACCCCCCCTCCTCCCTCCTGCAGAAACTGCCTCCCTCCCTGTCCCTCCCCCCAAATCCCTTGGTAATTAAGCTTGAGAAGAGGGCCAAGAAAGCCAAGAAGAAGAGAAGGCGGAAGAGAGAAGGGGGGGGTGTCAGGAGGCAGAAAAGGGGCTCAGACAGCAGCCTCAACCGCCAGGCCTGCCTTAAGGGAGCCCAACTCCTGGGTTTGCACCATGTGGGACGAGGGCTGCACCTACTGTGGGAAAAAACAGCAGGATCCAGGCACAAATGTTAATGAAAGGCAGAAGCGCCTGTGAGCTGCAGCTCAGGAAAGCCCAGATCCTTTTAATAACATTCGTTTGCTGGAAAAGGAACGCTCGGAGTTTTACTTCTGACCCGAGTGCTTGCCGGGCCACCTGCCTGAGGATTCACCCCAAGGGCTGCTTCACACGGGTCCAGCCTCTGGCCGGAGTCTGAGGGGCTGCAGCAGTCAATCAATCAGAATAGAGCTGGAAGGGGCCTTGGGGGTCTTCTAGTCCAACCCCCTGCTCAGCCAGGAACCCCTGTACCGTTTTGGACAAATGGCTGTCCGATCTTTTCTTGAAAACCTCCAGAGATGAAGCACCCACAGCTTCTGGTGGCAAGCTGTTCCACTGATTAACTGTCCTCACTGTTAGGAAGTTTCTCCTTAATTCCAGGTTGCTTCTCTCCTTGATCCGTTTCTATCCATTATTTCTTCTCCTGCCCTCTGCTGCTTTGGAGAATAATTTGACTCCCACTTCTTTTTTTCAAATACCGGAACACTGCTATCCTGTCCCCCTTAATTCCTTCTTTTCTCTAGACTAGACTTGCAACTGTTCTTCCTAGGTTTTAGTCTCCAGGCAACACCTTTTTTGTAATGTGGGGATCAAAACTGGATGCTGTATTCCAGGTGGGGCCTTACGAAGGCTTTATAAAGCCGGTGCTAATCCTTCACGTGATTCTGAGTCTAGGCCTCTGTTTATGCAACCCAGGATTGCAATAGCTTTTTGGGCTGCTGCCACACACAGCTGGCTCCTGTTTAAGGGATCGTCCAGACGAGAGATGCCAGTCCTCCTGTCCTCTTGGAGGCTGTCCCTGCAGGGAATGCAGCCGGCTCTGCCCAGGGACACCCACAGGAGGAGGTGGGGTGGGGTGGGATCCAAGAGACAGCCTGAAAACAGTGGAAGCCAACCGCCCGTCCCTCTGTACTTACCGAGTAGTGGGACGGGCTGTGGAGGTGCTCCAAGGAGTACTGCCGGCCGTATTTGGGCATGCTGTGGGGGGAACTGCCGTCGTTCAACATCAGGGGGCTGGAAGGGAGCGAGAGGGCAGTGAGGCCACCCTCTGGCCAGCGTCCCCAGGCCACCCTGCCAGACCCAGAGCTTCCCCGCTGCTGCCATTCAACGGTGCCCCTGGGGGCTCACTTACATCTTCCTCTTCACCCCAAGGATACGATTGGACTGCACCAAGGAAATCAAGAACTGGATGAGCTGCAAGAAGAGGAAGAGAAGGCCCTGAGGGTGCTGCACCCGAGGCAGCCCCAGAAGAGAAGGCAGGTACGAATGGGGGCGCCTGCTGGGGGTGGCCCATTGCTTCCCTAGGCAGCGGGGCTGCTGAGGCCTTCGCCCCTGGATCTCATGGCTCAGGGCCTGAGACCGAGGATCTGGCCCCCATCGCTCTGGGCTGCTTCCATGTCCTCCCAACGGTAGGTGGGTGCCCTCCGGTCTTGGGGCAGGCTGAGGATTCACAGCAGGGCCCTCTGCAGGGGGAACTCTTGAGCCAGACAGGACGGGGGGGGGGGGAAAAGGGGGTCAACCTCACCTTATTGACGACCTTCTGTTGCTGTGTGTGCTTCTGACGCAAAGTGGCCACCTCCCGCCACAGAGCCTCGTTCTCGCTGCAAGGAGAGGGGCAAGCAGGCCATTAAGAGAGCCAGCCTTGTCAGCTGCCCTTAACCACAGACCTTTGAAAGGGCCTCCTGCAGACGGGCGCTGGCTCCAAGCAGCTGGCAGCCCAGGGGATGCCATGACCGGGAGGGTTGGCGGGTGCCCAATTGGAGGGAGCCGGCCAAGCTTTAGCCTTGGATGTGTGTGTGTGTGGGGGAGGGGGACGGATGAACGGACGGATGGAAACAGCAAAGGCCCCCCCCCATCTGAAAGGAGCCTCCTTGAGTGGGGCAAAAACGCACTCTGGAGGAGGACAGAAATGCGGCTCTGAGCTTCCCGTCCCTGAAGGTGTTGCCGGCAAGAAGAATGGCCTTGGGAGCTACATGCCTCCCCCCAGGGCCTCTGCAGGGCTCTCTGGGCAGCTCACAATGTAAGCATGATTTGCATGGGGCTCCCAACAATCGGGGTCCTCATTTCCACGACTATCCAGAGAGGCCTCTGGGGCATTCAGTGCATCTGGGCCTGGGGCTGTCCTAGAAAAACCCCACCCCCAAGGGAGACTACAGGCAGTCCTTGTTTAGTGACCACAACTGGGACCCGCAACTCAGCCATTAAGCAAAGCAGTCCCTAAATGAAACCATGGCTGCTTATGACCTTACTTCAGCTTTCCTTCACTTTACAGACTGCACAGGTTGTAACTATGAGGACTGGTTGCAAAATTACTTTTCTCCACACTCAGCAGTGCCTTTTCAGTATCTACCAATATCACCTATTATTTTTTATTATTTTATTACAAAAATAATTAAGCATACAATAGCCAAAGCGCTCTGGGCGGTTTACAATAAAACGTTCTTGTGCTCGGCACTCGGAACATGTTAAGTTCCTCGGCTTTACTATTGATTAATCATCACGGTTGCTATTGTTTTGATGTTTTTAAATTGTCTTATAATTTTAGAATTGTAAGATGAGCCACTTGGTTGAGTTGGGCATCTATAGGAACGGAATGAATAAATAAAATATTCTGAATGCTTGCCACACAGAAGGAATGAAATGCTCTAATCTTTGTTTAAGTAGAAATGGCAGATTCAACTTTTGTCAAGAACCGAAGCGTAACAGAAACTTTCACTACTCTTCCTGAATTATGCTCGCACAACGCCTCCGTTCCCAAACGCAGGCAGCTTGGTGTTGACTTGCAAGGAGGCTCCGGATCAGAGATCTCTGTGTGAGAAGCCTTGAGGTAAGGCTGGGCTTTTTTTTTTTTTTTTTTTAAATTGATTTATATGCCGCCCTTCTCCAGAGACTCAGGGCGGCTTACAATGCGTTAAGCAATAGCCTTCATACTTTTGTATATTTATACAAAGTCAGCTTATTGCCCCCACAATCTGGGTCCTCATTTTACCTACCTTAGAAAGGATGGAAGGCTGAGTCAACCTAGAGCCTGGTGAGATTTGAACTTGCAGTAATTGCAGGCAGCTGATGTTAATAACAGTGCTTTAGTCTGCTGCGCTACCAGGGCTCTTAATACCAGGGCTCTGGCATCCTGCCCAACAGGCAGCAAAACTGATACCAAAAAAAAATCTCAGCTCAAACAATATGAATAGAGAGAGAAAAAAAACTATTTTTTGCAACTATTAAGATGAATATTTTACCTAGAATCTTGTATCTTTTTCAGACAATTCCTGTAAAGCTGGGTAAGGAATTTTTTGCAGATTTAAATAAAATGGTTTTGAAATATGTTTGGCAGGGAAAGAAGGCAAGGATAAAACTCAAACTGTTACAAGATGCTAAGATGAGGGGTGGTTTTGGATTACCGGATTTTGAATTATACTATCAAGCGGTTTGCTTAATGTGGATTAAAGAATGGGTGACATTGAAAAATACTAGATTATTAAATTTGGAGGGACATGATTTGCTAATGGGATGGCATGCTTTCTTATGGTATAAAGGAACTAAAATTCAGGGGTATTTTAGAAGGCACCAGATACGTGAAGCTTTGTTTTTGACATGGGAGAAGATCAAAAAATACCATTATCTGAAGATTCCAGTCTGGGTATCTACAATTGAAGCTTTTTCTTATCCAGTGGTATTTGAAGGGGAACAAATTGTTAGATATAATGAATTATTGGATGAAAAGGGTGAACTTAAATTGAAACAAAACTTAGAGGATCAGGGAATTAAGATAGATTGGTTTTCATACATGCAAATACTTTCCAGATATCGAGAAGACTTTAAACAAGAAGGTATTTATAGTGTTTCGACTGGTTTAGACAAGATATTAATGGGTTCAGATGACCATATAATTAAAAAGCTATATGGATATTTACTTGAAGCAAAACTGGAAGAAGAACAAGATAAAGAACCAATAATAGCATGGGGAAAAATTTTTGGTTATAGTATTGATTTAGAGAAATGGCAAAAATTGTGGTTATATAATTATAAAATGACAATGTCAACAGCATATAAAGAGAACTTGTATAAGATGTTTTACAGGTGGCATCTACCCCCAACGAGAATAGCCAGGATGTTTAAGAATAAATCGGAGAAATGTTGGAAGTGTCATCAAACTCCAGGATCATATTACCATATGTGGTGGACATGCGTGGAAGCAAGGAGATTTTGGACTAAAATACATACGTGGTTAGAAAAAATGACAAAGAGACATATTGACTTTAAACCAGAAATATTTTTATTAGGAATCTTACCAGAGACGTTTAATAAAGAATTACAATACTTAATTGTGAACATTTTAACAGCAGCCAGAATTGTATTTGCCAAAAACTGGAAAGGAGAGAAGATAATTACCGATGAAGAAATTATTATGAAAATGTTGGACTGTGCTGAAATGAGTAGATTGACATTTGAAATAATAGAACAGGAAGATAAACAATACTATTTGATATGGGAGATATTTTATCAATGGTTTGATAAAAAAGTATGGAGATGAGATAGCATATATGAAATGTTTAAATATTTATCTTTAGTTTAAGTAAAGAATAATTGCTATATGAGGAGATTTGGAGAATTGTAAGCACGAAATGATTTTAACCGATTGAGATGCTGTCTATAATTGTTTTTAAGGATGCCAGGTTGGCTTAAGAAATTTTTAAAATTTTTAAATTCTTTTAATTAGTCTGTGATTCTTAACTTTCGGGCCAAAATTTATATATATTTTTAAATGTTTTAATATTTGTATTTCTATGTTTTTTATCTTGGCTGTACACCGCCCTGAGTCCTCAGGGAGAAGGGCGGTATATAAATTGGAAATTAAATTAAATTAAATTAAATTAAATTGTTGTTGTGGGTTTTTTTGTTTTTTTTTTATTTTTAATCTAAAATAAAACTTTTCAAAAAAAAAATAGAGAGAGAAAAAAAAAGGAAAAATAGAACAAAAAGAAGAATGAAAAGTGAATAGGAAAGCAGCAGAGAAAATGTAGAATGGTTTTAAAGAAAACTACTCTGGAAAGGTGAAGAAGGCAAAACAAAACTGAATAAAATTCAAAGTAAGTGATGAAATGACCTGGAATGGAACTGAAGTGAGAGAAAGGGGGAAGGAGGACCGCATGCGGAAGAGAGGAAATCAAAGTTGCAAATGTATGAATTCTGATTGAAAGGGTAGAAGACACAATAAATGAATTTATGCTGGCCAATGGCCTGGCCAGATTGACTCTTTAGCAAGTCATATTCACTGAATACACCGATATGATCAAGTTTAACTTATGTTAATTGTGTTCTTGGCTGGCTTTTGTTGATCCTGGCAGCTGACTAAGCACACACCTTGGAGTCCTAGTGGACAATCATTTAGATATGAGCCAGCCGTGTGCAGCAGCTGGCAAAAAAGCCAACACAGTTCTGGGCTGTATCAACAGAAGGATAGGATCAAGATCACATGAAGTGTTAATACCACTTTATAAGGCCTTGGTAAGGCCACACTTGGAATATTGCAACCAGTTTTGGTCGCCACAATGTGAAAAAGATGTGGAGACTCTGGAAAGAGTGCAGAGAAGAACAACGAAGATGATTTGGGGACTGGAGGCTAAAACATATGAACATAGGTTGCAGGAATTGGGTAGTTTAATGAAAAGAAGGACTAGGGGAGATATGATAGCAGTCTTCCAATATCTGAGGGGCTGCCACAAAGAAGAGGGAGTCAAGCTATTTTCCAAAGCACCTGAAGGCAGGGCAAGAAGCAATAGGTGGAAACTCATCAAGGAGAGAAGCAACTTAGAACTAAGGAGAAATTTCCTGACAGTGAGAACAATTAATCAGTGGAACAACTTGCCTCCAGAGGTTGTGAATGCTCCAACTCTGGAAGTTTTGAAGAAGATGTTGGATAACCGTTTGTCTGAAGTGGTGTAGGGTTTCCTGCCTAAGCAGGGGTTGGACTAGAAGACCTCCAAGGTCGCTTCCAACTCTGTTATTCTATTCTATTCTACTCAAAAATATGGTTTTAAATTGTTGCTAGCCATCCGAACTAGTCCCTTCAGGGAATGCTTGAGACAAGCTACACGCCTCGCATTTGGACCCTCTGACCCTCAAACCGAAACTTAAGAGGCCTCCGGGGACCGTCTTCAAAGTCTTCCAGGGGAAGACAAGTCATTCTGGCTCAACCCAGTAAGTTCATTTTTGTGTTTAATTCTAAAGAAATGGCCCACTCTGCGTTCTGTCCAAGGTACTCGAGGTCCCGCAGTGGCTCAAACAGGAAGCTCCTGCATGGTGAAATGAAGGCTTTCTTTGATCCCCAGAATTCTCGGGAGAACCGCTGGGCTCTTTTCTGACAAGAGAACCTAAGAAGGAGCCTTCTCCAATTTGGCCATTAGCGAAGCTCCCTGGAAAGGCTCCGGTGGAAAGTCATGCAGGGAAACATCCACCCTGGGAGGCCCCTCCCTCCCCCCCAAATGAAAAGATCAAACAGCACTGAAAGACCGGGGGGGGGGCACCGCTTCAAGGCACCTGCAGGTGGGTGGGCGGCTGATCAAAAGGCGCAGAGGGAGCCAGCAAGCAGCTTAATCAG